TATCCAACATTTATATGCGCTATTTGTGACGTACTTTGTCGTCACATAAGACGTACTCAAGTGTGACCACTTTCGGATTGTAACAAATACTTTGCGCTTGTGACGAGTTTATGTCATCACTAGATTTATTTAAACCGTTACCATTTTGAGGCGTCACAAATAATTTTCCTATTTGGGCGTATTTTTGTCACAAAAGAAGGCTTTTGTGACGACATTGTGGTCATAAAATCAAGTTTTTGTGACACAATTATCGTTATAGGTGCAACAACATTAGTGATAAAGTTTTTTTGACTGTCACATTATACCTTTGGTTATGATAACATTTGTCATGAAAGCCTACTTTTGTGACGAATGATCTGCCACGATTGAAGATATTTATGACGATTGTGCTTTGTAAGAATAGTATGCATTAGTGACGATTTGTTATGTAATCAGAAGTATTTTTGGTGAGCAGTATTGTCATCACAAATTGCCAACGATAGTGAGGATTTTGGCCATCACAAATGTGTGTTGTTTGTGAGAATAATTTTGTCACATATGTATCTTTTGGTGGCAAAAGCACACTGAGAAATATTTTTTTGTGACAAAATTGTTAATCATATATGACAATATTCGTGACCATTGGCATTGTAAGCAAATGTATTTATTAGTGACGATCTGATTCATCACTAAAATTATTTTTTGTGACATCAATATTGTCACATTTTTAATGGTTTTGTGAATTTTTTCGTCACATATGATTTGTTGTAATAAGATTTTATTAATAATAAAAAATTATTTAATTAAACTATGAAATAAAGCACATTGAACCCAAAATAGAGAACACTCTTTAAATCAAAACTTAATAATGATATAAACTAAGCATAGTAACACAAAATATTAGAATTTGTTTCTGTCTAGACCAACAATAAAATTTGCTAGTCATTCTTGGTGAGCTTCTCTAGTCTCTTCTTTGTGCTTTGCTTGTAGGCGGGCTATACGATCCTCAAATTTCTTCTTTTCTTGTGCTAATTTGTCATTATAGTGTTGTTGTACCTTGCTTCTATCTCCTCCCTCAGTATAACTTTATTTTTAGCCCCTCTTCTTGCCATCGTGCTGCCTCGAGAAGGAGGAGGCTATCCTGAAGCTATACGAACCATCTCTTTGTAGGTCAACTTCGATCCAACATCAACCAACTCTTTTATTTGTAGCTGTAAAATGAAATGGTTTATGAGTGTAAATCACGTTGGAAAAAATCACCACATAGTAAATGTAAACATCATATATATTTTGTACTCGGGTACAAAGGAATGTTCCGCACGTAATGGTTCGTTCTGATTTTGAGTCTCATCAGAATCATACAATGCATCTTGCGACTGAGATCTTGTCTCATCACTGTCATAGGCCGTTGATCTGGCTTGCTCTAATGGAGTTTCCCTCGTTCTTTTTGTCAAGTACACAAGATAAGCAGAGCTCTTGACCCTATCAAAACACAGTTTCATTGTAAGGGAGAAAATAAGGAAAGCACAAGAAACAACACCCTCAAACACAAGAAATCGGGGACAACAAGACTGCAAAGTCAATAAAACAAGCAGATGCAGAACAGAAACATAGTGGCCCGAATCAACCAAACATCTCTTAGATGGTTATCGTTTTCAACATAGCATATCTCGAGAAGAAGAGCACAAGGAACAGAACGCTGCAAATCATATTAGCTTAAGGAATACGAGTAGTACAAAATCTAATTAACAGGATGTAACACTAACCAAGCGCTTAATAAATCTGGTAGAGCGGCGGAATTGTGTGAGATTGACGGGGAACAACGGCAGCGTCCTGGAATGGGAGAGGTGTAGGCGGTCGATGCAAGGAATACAAGGGTTTCAGCTCTCGGGAGATGAAGAGTATAAAAGCCATGAATTTAATATTAATTAGCATAGAGATTTATTTTGAATAGGAAAGTACGGATATTTGTTATGGTTAGCAGGATTTCCCAAGAGTTACTGTTTCTTTTTTTGGAAGACTTTATTGGATTTATCATGGTTATGGAAGAAGCCAGTTATAAAATAAAAAATCATAGTTAAATAAGAGGTTTTAGTAAAACAGAGATCCTTAGCCTTAGTGTTTGCCTTCACGGATGTATACTATGATGATACAAATTTAGCTGATAAAATACTTAGAATTGAGATTTTTCAAATTAATGATAAAACGTTACATTGTTACTACAACTTGTACCATAACGTTAAATATATGAATTCGGTTTGTACAATAAAAAAAATTATACTCTTATGTTATGGTTTAACTTCCGTTTGTACCTTTAATATGAATTTTGTAAAAGAAAAATATAAGTACAGAATGAATTGGTACTACAATGTTTTCTTATTATATATGAGTAGGAGGACTACTTATCAAAGTGACACAAAATGGGTGTCAACAAATAGAGTTGACAACAATATCACAATGGGATACAATGTTGAATGGCGAATACCATAAGTCACCTTATGTGAGAGGAATGATCACCATCTATCATGATGACAACTATTCAGAATGTGACCTATGATTCCTAGGCTGAAGAATAGGGATGGCAATGGGAGGGTTTGCATAAATCATCCTCATCCTCGCTTTCAAGTATCCAATATGTACATCGAATAACAGTTTGGGTAAGGTATATATACAGGAACAAATTAAGCTCTAAACTAATACAAACGATGGTATTAGCATAATCAATTACCATTCACTGGGTTAGGACTACACATTCTTCCTAACTATCATAGCGATCAATCAAAGCACAAAATTGCTCCACTAAAAGCATGAATTGATTCCAAAGAGGTGGGAAGAAGGAGAAGATGGAAGTCGACCTACTAACCTAGAATAGTGAAGCTGGAAGCGATGTGTTGCTTTTTCTTTTTTTCCTTTTCAGCTACTATGCTGGAAAGTAGCGGGAGTTCAGAGAAGAAAAGTCAAAGCCAAATAATCGTCAGCCGCAAGTAGCGGGAGCAGGTCGGAGAAGAACTATGTGGGACGAGTCCGTTCCAACGCCCAGAAGGTAAAGGTTTTTTTTTTTTTTGCTTTTGTGATTTTGGGTTTTTCTATGCGAGCCTGTCAAACGTATACTCTGTTCTGTTTTTGGGCTGGACAAAAGCAAGTTTCTTTTCATGATTTATTGTATTCTTATTAATGTTTCCTTTATACCTTTGTTGTTATGCGCTCTATAAATGCAAAACGGACTAGGAAGGTTCAATACCACTAACTAATCAAATCAGTATAAGGACCTTTGTTTTTTTGTAGTTAAGCTTCTTTAATTTTCGTTCTTCAATTTTAGTGAGAAGGCCAATTAGTTGAAATTTATATATTTAATTAATACTAAATATCAAATTGGTACAATATGTAACATTTTTTGTTAAGTGTTGCCTAAAATAGAAGAATATATAACACAAGTAATTTTATTGTACAAATGTTGCATATTATTAACAATATGTAACAAAAATTATGGTGCGGCTCATTTGTGTTGCATAAGATATATATTAAGCAACACAAAATGAAAGTGTTGCATATATCTATTTTATGTGACACTTTTAAAAAGTGTTGCAGAACGAGTGTTGCATAAAGTCACTTTTCCCGTAGTGAGGTCATTGAAGTTTGGATATATTGGTTCTACCTAGATGGCCAAATTCTTTCTTGTCTTATTAGCCGAGACCCGAATTTGTTTTTGTTGGATCAATCCTACGTATACAAAGGAATGGATAATCAACCGTGAACTTTTTTTTTTTTTTTTGTGGTTGTTGTTGAAAGCCCTGCTTTTTAGGTTGTCCATGGTGCAAAAATAGCAATTTCAATTTAGTTTCGCATTTGTGTGCTTTATAATTTGTTTTTTGTGTAGATATAAAACTCAATTTTGATATTGTCTGGTGGAATTGTTGGCCCTGCGGGATGCAGTCCGTTGGTGTTCAGACAGAGGTTGGTGCTCGGTGACTTTTATGGGAGATGTGCAGACAGTGTTGCAGAAAGTGAAGGTTGGGGAGGTGCATGATGCTCTTGGTGGAGTCTTGCTTCAAGAGATTCAGGTGTTATGTTCCTCCTTTCAGCTTTTTGATTGTGTGTTTGTGGGTCGAAATAGAAACAGGGTTGCCCATCTTGTGGCAATGAAAGCCCTTTCATTGAGATCACCATTGTTGGTGGGTTTGATTTTGGTGCGTGGCTTCGGTCACTTTGATTCGTTAGACTTTGTAACGTTTATATCTCGATAACACGAGTGATCTAATGACAAAAAAAAAAAAACCTAGCCACTCTCCACACCTTAACATACACGTACAAGCATCACATGACTGAACTAATAATGTGCTCAGGTGTTACTATTGTATCATTCTTATCACTATTTCTATTGTGGGCAGTTATATTAGTTAAATCGGATAATGATTTTTGTAGTGTAAACGTTTTGTAATATATCCACTCCCATATTATATAATTGCTCATATCCAAAATAAAATAATTTAACATCATAATTATTTATAAATTTCCCTAAATAATAACAATACAATAAGGGTAAGACCATAACCATTAAAATTGATTAACGCTGCCAATAATATTCATCCATAAGCCAACAACCTTTCAAATTGTTCACATCAATTATTTTCATCCATTCTCAGCCTACTTTATTGAGTTGAACCCGACTGCAATTAATTTAAACTTGCATGACTTAATTGAAACTAGCAACAAAGTTTAGTGTGCACCTACAATAATAGAATCAAAATACGTGCAAAGTGAGTGAAAGCTTACCTTAAACTATATGACCTCGCTAATAATCTATGGAATTAAGTATTATATTCTTCGTAAACTAAGCAAGTTGCACCTATCACTATTTTAATCGAAGCCCTTCTCCATGCCTGAACCTATCACTATTTTCCTTTATATACAATGACATAAACCCTATCGCCTCCCTTCTCATCAAACATTTCATCATTTGCTCTGCAACTTCCAAAACATATACCGAACTCCTTTCTTTTCTCTCTGGTCCAAAACCCACTATGGATCTTTTTCTCCAATTCAATTCCCATCATTTCCTGAAAACTGGTCCAATCCAACAAACCCATCCAAACCGGCTCAACCCAATCTCCTGCCGAGCCAACAATTTGTACCACGTGCTCTCACTCTCATCGGAAAATGTTGGGCCCGAGGAGATAAAGAAGGCCTACAGAAAGCTGGCCCGACAGTACCACCCGGACGTCCGACCCGCATCCGGAAAAGAAGAGTCGACCCGCCGGTTCTTGGAGATCCGAGAAGCTTACGAGACGCTTTCCGACCCGGCCTCCCGCCTGGCCTACGACTACGAGCTCAGCACGGCGAGCTCGAGCGGAAGGCCGCGGCGGAGCGAGCGCTCAACGTCGTCGTCGTCGAGGGCGGTGTGGCAAATGCAGCTCCACGGGCTGAAAGAGCGGTCCCGGGTCAGGATGGAGAGAAAGAGTTATTGTAGTACTTAATTTAACAAATAAATAAAATGTTGTTGTTTTTTTCAGTTCTTGATTTTAGTTATTGTTTTTGTGAACTCTAGAGACAATGTTTTTTTTTCTTATTCTCTTTCTGAGGATAATGTGAACATGATCATCAATTGCTATAGGTATGCTACCGTTTCATTCCTGTTGATGATGTCCAAGGTTGTCAACCCGCGGGTTGACCCACGGGTCGACCCAATTTGACCCTGACCCGGTGAGAAAAACGGGCCGCACGCACCCGCAGGGCCGACCGCTATTAGGTACTGGGTTGGAGGTCAAATTGTGTCATTTTTTTCTTTAGTTTGCGAAATGCGCCTATTTTCCAATTTTTCTTTTCGCCTAACTCAATCTTTAGAATACTAAGTTGAACATTTGAATATTTATGTTATATAAGTGTGTGTGAATTTTCATTATATGTTGAATCTAAGTACGATATGTTATTTTGGTGTAATATTATATGGTATAACTCATATGTTAGATAAGATTTTATATAATTTCTGAGGATGAGTACAATATAATGACTCTTTCTATATTTCCAGGCCAAACCGGGCTAAAACTGTTGACCCATTAACCCTTGACCCACTAGCTCGACCGGGTCCGGGTCAACCCGCGGGTTGACAACCTTGATGATGTCCCATATCCTACTAGCAATAGAGTCCTCGGATATATCTGCAGGTGACTCTTTTTTCCTAGAAAGATAGATTTTAATCTCTGTGTTATGAGGATCTTGTGGATTGGATTGGATTGGATTGGTGAATCTATAAATTAAATTGATTGGTGAATTGAATTATGGATTCAATGATATCTAATTACTGGAATAATATGTAAATCTTGAAAATTTTAGCTACTAAAATCCACCAATTCAATACAAATTTGTCACTTCTATCAATTGGATATCTACGGATTCTTTTATTAGTTTTCCCCTCGCTTTAGTACATTGGGATTTTTGTTTAATCATATGATAATAATGCAAAACAAATGATATGAGATGTATGTTTAATTTTTTAAATAAGAGTCGTATATGTACTATATCTTTTGGTTTTGTATTTTGTATTCCTTCAGTTTTGTCGTAGGCTTAATGAGAAGTTAGCTTGATTTTGGTGGGATGGGATCATCAAGACAAGGAGAGTGGGATAAAAGCGGAGGGCGACAAGTGTTTACACAAAAATATTTTACCCCTTCAAATACTACTTGGCTAATCATCCAGTATTTGATCAGCATGTATCCAGTCCCAGAGTAACGATCAAGTCTGAAAGTGGATGGTAGCATCCCACATTATGGATAACATCCAAACTCTAAGTGAATGATATCATTTCATATAGTGGACACTATCCAACCTCTTAGTAGATAGTGGTCATCCCACATAGTGGACACCATCCAAAGTTTTAGTTGGATGGTATCATCCCATATGATGGATACCATCCAAAATATGAGTTGGGCGATTTCATCCATATTGAAACAGGATCACATGGTGAGGTATCTGGAGACTTCCTACAATGACAAAGGACTTGCGTAGAGGCTATGCGGGACTAATTTTTTAGAGGAGGAGAGAGAGAGAGAGTAGTTGTACGACTTTGGGCAACAAGAATTGAAGCAACCTTCTGGAGCAAGGAGGACAATGACTAGGGATGACAATGTGGCGCGTTTGCCTAAATCATCCCCATCATCGCTTTCAAATATCCAAACCCGTACCCACCCCATACCCATGCGAGGGAAGATTTTGCAAACTCATCCCTATACCTATGGGTTTCGGGTACCCATGGGTAATACCCGCCCCGTACATTCAACATCATTATACCTAAAATTTTAAGTGTAAATTTTGAATTATAACACTAAACATACCTACTATATTATTAAGCTAACAAAGATACAGTCATTCTTAATAGGGTTCAAATTATATGATCCTAAAATATGTATTAATCAATATGATAGAGCACAATGATTTCCAAATCATTAATTTCTCACTCTAATACATCTACTAAGTAATACTTCGCTAACATAATTATCTTTTTAACAAGAAAGTAAAGTGAAAGAATGAAGGGAATATTGACGTAAATGAATTAGATTTGGATTTGGGTGACCACTCAATTGCATTTCTACTATATATTGTCTTAAGTTACCTTCACATTCATTGATAGGTTTCAATTTTATCCATGTATTTTTTATATGTGAAGAAATATTCTTGGTGGGGCGGGTATGGGTGTTACACCCTGATCTTGCCCAAAGTCAAAATGACTATCATACCCTCGGAGAAATTTGTCAAATTTCATGATAATATCTATGAGGACTAAAAATGTGATCCCTCTGCTCAAACTGTGTCGAGTTTCGACATAAAATGAGGAAGTTATGGACATTAACTGAATTTCGGATAAACTCACTCGATACCGAAAATTCCCAAAATAACCCATGGGTTTATTTTAAATTTCCGTCTCGACTTCCTTTACCACAGATCATAATATTAACCCAACCCTAAACTACCAGCTATCCCAAAACCGCTAGCGCTCTCTTCCATCGAACTTCAGCGAACCCTATCTCTAGTGCAACCCCGCCTCTCCTCGGCCCGGGAACTGATCGAGCCCCCTCTCTACTACTAGACCTGCTTAAGCCTGATTGAGCCCCCTCTGCTATGAGACCTGCTTGTTTAAGCAAGCAGAAGGCCGAAGCCGCTCTCTACTGCGGTTTCGGAAGGCGGGCGAAACAGGAAGGGAACGAGTAGAGAGGCACCTGGTGACGGCGTTTCTATAGGTAGAGCTGCATGCTTAGAAAATTGGCGAGAGCTAGTTGGAGCAGGCAATCACCTCCTCTGCACCTGCCTGCTTCGGATAATGGACCAGGGCGGTCGAGATGGGTGAGCAGCCAGCATCTATGTGTTCCCGCTACGACAGCTGCTTCCTTGTACCGGGACGGCCATTATTGATGCACCCCTCTACTGCTTAAGCAAACGTTAGCCGTCTGCTTAAGCAAGCAGGAGGCGATTTCTGTAGGGGACAAGGGCGATTAAGATGACGACCCTTATTGATGCCCCTCTATTACGACAGCTGCCTGCTTAAGCAAGCAGGAAGGACGAAACAAGGAGTCAGTGGGAGAGGATCAATTTGGATACGAGCAGTGCCAAATCCAAAACGTATCCCCTCTCTATATATTTCCACCGATAAATCACAATTCTTACCGGCAACCACACCTGGAAAATAGCGGCGGCCATCTCTGGAGATGCAGTACGGGGAACCGAAAATTGAAGGCGAATGGACTTGGATAAGTTACCTACACTACCCGCATTTAGTTACTTCGTAGAGGAATAACAAGTGAAAATTGAATATGTACATATGTGGGAGGTGCTTTAATATGGCTTTGGCAATTGGTTGTGGTTGATTTTTTACGACTGAAACGAATGGAGTTGATGGGGGAGCAACGTCGATTAAATGCTAAGTTGTTCCATGAAACCTTTTAGAATACCTAGTTCATGAAGCCAATGGATTTTAACTATATAGTCAGGTGAGTGTAAAGGGGGTAAAAGCCTTACGTGTTCTTTCAAGTATTACGAGCTTTCAAGGATTGTGATGAAGTGATTGTCGTTGTTTGATTGGCTTATCTTTGATGATATGTGCTTTGGTTGAGCTACGATTTGAATTGAACTGTGGATGAGTTTAGTTCTTATTTGAAGCTTTATATTTATGAGTTATTGTTAAAGTCTAAAAACAAGTCTTTTTTAAGAAGTACTTCACCTTCAAGATGGTGAAATCGTTTTAAGAGTTTTTAGTCACTAGCGCCAGCCCGTTGCCAGTTGAGATATTGAGATAGAGCAGCAGTTATGCTCTTGAGACTTTTAAGATGAGCAGCAGTTATGCTCTTGAGAATCGTGGAAGAAGAGCCTTCCACGATAAGTTTAAGTTTAAGGAAACCCTGGAGGGCTTCTCATACGTATGAGTTGGGCAACCGGACTAGCTAGTGAGGGATCCCCGTGTCGGTCAAGTATTTAAGTCAAGCTTTTAGATTTAAGAATGGAGAGTAACAGTAACTCCCATACAGTTTTAAGAGTGGAATTACAAACAACTTCCACTAATTTATTTAAGTGTTTTAAGTAAAGTGCTAAGCATTAGAAGTATAAACGTAAGGGCGTAGACTGACCCCAACTCACTCACCAGTTTGAATAGTTAGAGGAGGAGCTAGAGGAGCAGTTAGAGAGCAGCGGGATCGAGAGAAACAGTTCGAGGGAAGCCAGCTAGTAGGGAACGACACGAGAGTCTTGGAGGTTGTCCAATCAAAGTTTCCTATGAGCAGCAGCAGTAGTTGAGACTAGGTAGTTATTACGTTTTATGATTATGAGTATAGACAGGAGATCTATTTGAATTTTTAAAGTTTGAGTTAAGTTGCCCACGTGTTAGGGCGTTGCTTTGAACTACAAGAGTGTGTTTTCAGAAATTTATTTATGCAAGTTTTTTCCCATTGTAGTTTAAGCTTTGAGTGTTTTAATTTTCAAGGATATTTTGGTAAAATTAGTACCCAACCGGGTTAGGGTGTTACAATGGTTATGGGTATGGGGTGGGCGCAGCGAAAACCATACTCGCCCCATATCCATCAAAAATTTTGGGGGTTTTACCCATACCCAGTCAATGCGGGGATTCCCCGCATTAACTGGGTCGGGGGAAGTTGGATACCCGCGGCCATGGGTTTGATTGCCATCCCTAACAATAAAAACCCAAAACACAAACAACTTGCCTTTTTCTCTATGTAGCTTGCGGAGCTCTTCTTCATTAAGGATCATCCATAGTAGTAGTCTTAGTTGTAGTCACGGAGCTCTCAAGAAATCTCTATAGAAGTAATGTAAGGTAACATAGGTTCCCTATACACCAAATACCCTTGTTCGTATAGTGTTTGAAGAGGTATGGACCGTAGTAACAATCATCATCTTCAAAGAAGTCACGCACAACCTATCCACTTGTTTATCCATCATAACAGTTTGGCACATCCGGTGGGATATGTGTGTTTGG